ATCTTGGTTGATTTTAAATAAAAACGGCTAATTAAATCATCGTTTTATTCACACCGTAAATCAAGTACAGCTCCGCCACTTTTAGAACATATGTAACTGCTACTATATATAGTATATATATATATATATGGCTTACTTCGAAAAAATGCAGAAACTTCTTCGTTGCCTAAAGATATACAAAGTTATCTTAATGTAATTTCTTAATAAAATAATAAGCTAAATATCTCAGTATTATTGACGTATCATCTCTTTTTATCTCTTTAATTAATTAATGTTATACAAAATTAAAAGAATACCTTCTGTATCTTGGCTGCTCATTTCTAAAAAATAATCTTAATGTTTATTCTATTGGGTCAAAAACATATTAACTTCAAACATATTAACATGGTAATTATAAAATAAGTTTAATTTTTTAAATGAAGATTACAATAATTAAACTTGTAGATACAACTTACTTGTCGTCCCTCGCTTTGCAATTGTTATAATCGATATGAAGACCACATGGCCGAGTTTTATTGGTTTTAGAGTACAGTTGGCGCACATATCATAATACAAAAATCAGATGGTTTTGAATCTATTAATTAAGCTGTTTTTATTAACGGATTTGGTGGATTTAATTAGATAACCGCAAGGTAGTTTTACAGTGGTTTAAGAGTTGGCGTACGTTTCGTAATACAAAAATCATTTAATATTTGTTTATATCTTAATATTCGAGCATTTCTATTAGCGGATTAGGCGAAATTTTGTGGGTTTTCTGTTTGTCTCCTTCTGGAGTAACTAATTTTTTTTTTTTTAGGTTTCAGATTACAATTTTTTTTTTCATACCTTTCCGTACTTTTTAGGACTCTTGACCAGTTAGTTTTAATAAAAATTTCAGATTGCATGTAAAACCTTTTTTTTATATATATAAGAAAGAAATTTATCTCTTTAATGTGTGTTGAACTCGCAGTTTTAACTAATTACCTAAAACATAAGTATCTCTATCATGATATATGCGCAACAAATTTCCAACAGCGTTTTTATGTTTTAAAAAATTTTTAAAAACGTTTTAAAAAATTCTCTCCGTTTGGTTTCTTATAGTATATTATATCTTTATTTTTATGTAATGCATATAACATCTATTTGCATTTAAACTTGTTTTTCTTTGTTTTCCAGAAAACTGGATAGGATTTAAAAAAAAATTTGTGTAAGCAAAAGGTTTTGAACCGAAGCGAAGCACTTCAATCGCTGTGGAATGCTATATCATCTTTTTACATTATTTAATAAACAGAAAACTTATTAAACTTTAAAAAACAACATTTAATGCTTTAAAATAAAGAGATATTGTCGCAATGAAATTATTAAGTAAAAATAAATCGGTAGAATTTGATGTCATCTACTTTATAATTATACTGATTGATAATTAAAGAACTTAAAGTTTACATATTTAGATATTTGAATAGACTTTCGTTCACATTGATAAAATACAAATCATAACGGATTGTGGTTCCGAAAAAAAAGGTTAATACACTACCATCTATAATTATTGGAAAGGTCATATTTTTTAATATCAAAGATATTGAAGTTTTGCGAAAAAGTGAAAACAATGTCTACCTGAATTATATGTTATCTTCCTATTTATTAGGTTTACCAATAAAACTTCCCTGATTAGTTTATAATTTATTCAAGGCCCTGATTAGCTTTTAATTTATTTGCCTATTAATCACCCTTAACAACAATAACCGCCATAAATATATTCTTAGCATTCTACTTAACGACTTATCTAATTAGTCTATTTTGTCACTAAGTATAAAAAAAAAAAAAAAATACCCATGTATTAACTAAATATCAATTTATTTATCTATTTAATTTAATATATATAATATATAATTTAATATATATAATTTAATCTAATTAATATAATTGAAATACTACTAATCAGTTTACTGATATTTTTTCTATAGCATTGTTAAAAATGGTCATATTCTGAAAGGTAAAGAAATTTATTGAAAAGAAAGTTGCACAAAAGAAAAAAAAACTAAATAAAAGTTATTTGTTTCAAAAAACGTTTTACGAAGAGTTTTTCTAAACAATTTTATTTTTAATTGCGTTTTTTTTGAATTTCGTCATAAGCATATTAAGGCGTTTTGAAAAACAGTTGCTGCATATATTTATAGTAAAAAAGTTAATGTAGCAAAATAAACTTTTAATTGTCAAAAGAAAGTTTTAAAGTTTTATCTAGCTACAGGCTTTTTTTTTTTTGCCTCCACAGCAGCATCTTATGAAGTAGCAGGGCTGTCTTGTTAAGTTTTTTCTTTATTAAGTTTCAGACAACTTTTTTTTCAGACCATCCGCAGCTTATTAGGACTAATTACATTCGCACATTAATAACATAAGTGTCTCAATTATCATAGATACGCAACATATTTTTTCTCCTGGTGATGTTTTTTTTTTTTTTTTAATGTTTTATGAAGTTTTAGCATTCTTAAAATCATTTCTTTTGTGAGTGCATAATATCGTTACGTTACATATGTTTGTATATAATCTTTATAAAACTTCGAAAGTATTTTGTATTTTAAAATAATTAAAAAAATTAAAAAAAATAGCCGCCTTTGGTAGGAGTCGAACCTATAGTTCCTTGTTCAGAAGTTCGCCGCCTTATCCACTCGAGCTACACCGGCATATCACCAAGGGTAGATTTTATAATAATGTAGTAATTTTTTTGAGGAAAAAAATGTTAAATCAAAATTAAGGAGAGGTTGACGCAATATAATTTTCAAGTAAAAACCAAACTGTAAAACGTGAAAAATGTTTCAGTATGTTTTAACATATGCTTTAACATTACATAAGTTGAAGTTTACGTACGTTAGATGTTCGTTCACGTTTTCTTATAGCGCTGCGACTTTTTCTTGCCAATACCTCGGTTGCAATGGCTGCCAAGGGTTTCGTGTCAAATACGCTCCAAGGGACACTACTATTAAAACTATTAAGTTTGGCAATATTATATAGAAGATTAGACTTAAATTAATCACAAAAGATAACCACAGTACATAAAAAAACTGAGTTCTGATTTTTTTATCTAAAGGAGGGTCAAGGGCACCCCTTTAAATGCTTTTGACAAAGTTTGGCATGCTGGTCTTCTCCATAAGCTTGCTTTATATGGTGTATATAGAAAAAATTTTGAGATCAAATCATTTCTTTCTAAATCCTTTATTAAAGTCATCCTCGAAGGCCAACGCTATTCTTCATTTCCAGTAACTTCTGGGTTACCTCAAGGCTCTATCATTGATCCTGTTTTATTGTGCTTGCCATTTTTTTACTCCTGATTCTATTCTCTATCTCTACAAATCTTTTACTCGTCTTTGTATAGAATACTTTTGTCATATTTGGGCTAATTCTTCTAATGATGCTTTTCTCTTCTAGACAAAGTCCAAAAATGCATTGTAAACATAGTTGGACCCACTTTATCTGAGTGGGTCTAACTATCTAAGTCTTATTCATTTACTGTATCTGTCCCTGCATGCTCTAAAAACCTTTATTCATTTATTTTCTTTTCCTGCATTTCAACATTTTGGAACTTTCTTCCGTCTTCATGTTTTCCTGACTCAACTCTTCAAGTCTTCTTAAAATTGTTTCCTTGATAACTCTTTTTTTTCCTAGTAACTCCCTTCATAGTGGTTGCTTGCAGCCTTGTTGGGAATGAATCAGAATAAAAAATATCTATATATATCAAATATTAAATATAATAATATAATATTCAATAACAGAATTGTCAGTTATATAATAGTAGTGTCAATTATATAAAAGAAGTATCAAAGCTTAAATACAAGATCAAATTTAGTAGTTGTAAAATTTCAAATAAAAAAAAGTTTTTTTTATTTGTGATAAAGTTTGTTATAATATGTTGCAGTGTGTGATGTAATATTCGTTTTGCTTTGAATTTTGCTTTTATTATTATTAAGACTCTCACTAAGGTGTGCATTTGATGTCACCCAAAGGTGTGTGCTTGATGTCACCCAAAGGTGTGTGCTTGATGTCACCCAAAGGTGTGCACTTGATGTCACCCAAAGGTGTGTGCTTGATGTCACTCACTTGAAGTGAGCGATTAATACATTTAAGTTATATATAAATTAAAATTTATAGTAATAAATTTTAATATTAAGCTAGTTTAAATTCAATTTACTGTTTGAATAGTGCACTTTATTTATGTTTTGCAATCAAATAAACGATGTTACACTATTTTTTTTTTTATTATTATTAGTATTACAATAAGTAAATAAAACTCACTTGTTACAGCAAATGTTTACTTTTTATAAAATTAGATATCCATTTTTGACATCTCTTGAAACTTGACATGAGGAACATTTTAAAACCATCTCTTTAGACTGAAACAACTCATAGACTGAGGCAAGACCAATACTTAAAAATCTCAACAAAAAGGTAGACATGATGCACTATATATGAAAGGTACATAAAAACGTCTCAAGATATCTTGAGATAAGACATCATGTAAGATAACAGATTTTTATCATCACAAATTTAAAATAAATTACTAATTAATAATAATTGCATTATTAAAAATCAAAGTATTTAAAATTTGATTTAAAAATAATAACAACTTGCAATCCAGTTTAATGGATTTTTATACATGACTCAAAAATCAGCATAGGCAGCCACTTGTGAACCAATTGTTTACAACCCGAAATTGTGGCCTATTGCTTTTAAATACTTTTAAAAGTTATAAAAATTGAGTAAAAGATAACTTAATTAAAGATAAAATAATTAGTTCTTCCTCTAATTGCATTTTTATAGGTAGAAAAGAAATGGGGAGGGGGTTTAAGCTCTGCGTGGTCAGTACTTGTGGTTCCTCTTTTTTTTTGTATCATTTACAAATGTGTACAAAGTTATCTTTTTTTTTTTTTTTTTTTTTAGAATTTATTTTAATTTTACAACACAATTTTGTTTATTGTTTTGTTTCTGTTTTATATTTTAAATATAAAAGTATTTTTTTGTCTGTTTAGAACCGAGAATGAAACATGGTTTCTTACATTGTTTAAATCAAAAGGCTCAAAAAAACTTGTGCAAAAAATATCACCTTTTGATGATTTTATATTCAAGTTTCAATTTGAGGGAGGCCAAAATGAAGAAGCTAAAATTGAAACAAGTTTTTATGGTAAGTTTTAATTTAAGTATTAAAATAATTGCATTGCACTATATACTGAGTTGAAATATTGTACAATATGTTATTTATATACTATTATTTTATAAACTATATATAAGGATGGGTCACTCATACAGAGGTTTTATCAACAAAGTGACACTAAGAATTATTGTTACTTAAATTGACTTTAGCTCTTTAAAAAAAGAAAGGCATTCAGTAGCGTTCTTAGAATTTAGTTAGTTATAATTAGTAGCATCTTAGATTTTGTAAAGGCTTTTGACTGTTCCCCATTTTAGGTTATGTGTAAAGTCTAATTTATTTGTAATAAAGTGCAAAATTTTAAATAGGTTCAAAGTTTTATCTAATTATTAAAAAAATTTGTACTCAATATAAATCAGAATGGAATATAGTTTACAGTTATGGATCATTTGCTTTTTTTGATGCATATTTAAAAACTCACTATTCAAAAGTTTAAAAATTCATTTCTATAAATTAAAAAATTAGTGATATTTTTGTCAAGATTTTAAGATTTATAGAAAACACTTTTTACAAATTTAGACATCCTACTTAACTGAAGAACGAAATGACTATTTAAATTGCATTGTGGGAAATGCAGAGTTATGCATATACAGGGTGTCTGCCAGATCAGGGAAAACAGGGAAAAGTCAGGGAATTCAGGTATCTGCAAAAAAATCAGGGGGTTGTCAGGGAAATTAGGTTAAATTCTGTAAAAAATAGGAAGAAATCAGGGAAAATGGCTCTTCATCAAACTTACATAACTTAAGTAAATTGTAAGTAATATGGTACACGTAATATAAAAGTTTATTTGGCAAATAGTTTTATGAACTTCTCTTGATACATTTAATGTGGATTGTACTATTGTTTATATTTTTGCAATTGAAGAGCATTTTTCTAAATAAATCTAGGTCATTTTTTGTGAAGTTGAGTTTGGATAACTTTAAATTAAATCAGGGAAAACAGGTAGAAAATCAGGGAAATATCAGGAAAAAGTCAAGGAAATCCACCTTAAAATATTGGAAAACACCCTGATATATGTTATGATGTCCCTGAAAATGTATTCATAATTATATATGTTCAATCAAAAAGTCACTTAGAAGCAACTTCCCTAGAAAGTGATGTAGTATCGATGTGGTAGTGGTGTAGTGGTAGAGCGCTGGCTTCATAAAAAAATTGAAAAAAAAAATTATATCCAATGATTTGAAATAAAAACATCGCATTAAAAAATTTTAATCTAGATATGATAAAGCTTATTTTGACATATTTTAATCCATATACAATAAAACTTTAGTACACATTTATATATAGAAACAACACTCTATATATAAAAATAACACTTTATATATAGGCCACATTTAGGATATGCATTTCAAGTATGAAATCCATATTTTACAAAATGCGCAAATAAATTTAAAAAATACAGTATAAAGCCTCCGAAGTATGCATTAAAAAAACAACAACAGTTAAAGTGAATAACTTTATTTAATTTTCTTTAAATACCATTTCAAAGCTCAAAGGAAAGGGGGTCACTATTGTTAAGAACGCGACTCTTTTTTTTTTTTCTTTTTCTTTTTTTTCAACTCCATAGCTATAAATGCTAACTTTGGTGAGCAGGGCTGCTGCATGGAAAAACAAGTTAAATGTGATAGCGACATGGTAGGTTCGAACTCAGTTCTTCTCTCGCTTATGAAGCATGTGCTTCACTACACCACTATTGTGTAATGTTGAGTATTGTTTATGTAAACAAAGATAAAATGTTAGCATAGCTCAAATGTACAAGTTCACAACAAATTAGACATTGTTAGTTGTCACAGTACAAAATAAGTTAAACTGTATGAACAAGTAATAAAAATTATCTAATAAAAACATCTGCTGATTCTTGAAATATCCAGAATCGCATTTATCAGTAATATAATTTAAATTTAAAAAATTTGATTTATGCTAATTTGTATCTAAAAATTTGTGTTTATTAGTAATGGATTCAATGAATATTGGATACTTCTTGTTTGGTTGTTTACTATATAAGTTTGCAAAAAAATTAAGCAGGTATGTTTTTTGTTTCTTTAATAAACTTAATTGTTTTTTATTTATTTATTTTTACTTCAACTCTTTTTAAAATAATTTTTTTTTTCCTCATCAATTTAACTGTTTAAAAATAATTTTAATTTTTAACTTTAAAAAAAAAAAATTTAAAATTTATATATAAAATTAACTCTTTAAGTTATGTTAGCATTTGGTAGAAATAAATTACTTCTCTAAGGCCAAGGGGACTACTACAGAAATGGTAAAAGTAACTCAATGTAATAATGAGTAATTATATTGTAAACTGAGTGACTGTTGTTTAATGTAATTTTGCAATATTTAGGTCGTCTTGTAGTGCTTGAAAGCTAGTGATTTGTGCTGTCATATTATTTTCTGAAACTTACAGTTTTTGACACCTTTCATTAGACTAATGTATGAAGAAAAAAATGTTTTCTCCAAAAGTATATACACATGAGTCATCAAATATATCAACGTCTCAAACAAACCTGAATTTTCATAGAGATTTCAAAAATAAGAGTATCAAATAAAAATGAATTATTTAAATTTTATATACATAAAATGAATTAAATTTTATATTTTTAAAAACAATAATTTTGATCAAAATTTGTTATTTAAACAAAAATTTTGTAACAAGCTTTTTTTGCAATGTTTTTGAAATTTCAATAAAGTTTAGTTTCTTTTGAAACTCAGGTTGATATACTTATGGAGAAAAAAGATTTGGTATATACTTATGGAGAAAAAAGATTTTTGATTACATTACATCTTTTAATGAATATTGATAACAAACATATTTTGCATCAATCATTATACATCAATAATTCTTTGAAAGTAATAAAATTATAATATTAATATTAATTACTTAACTGTAACAAGGACTATTGTTTTTGATATCAAAAGCTTTTAATAAAATTTATAGAATGCTGATCATGCTTTTAATAAAGTTTTTTCTTTTTACTCTTCATATTCTTTGTATATTAAAACAAAATCTTTAAATCTAAAGAATTTAAGAATTTTTTAAAAAATTATTGAGCTATTTCTTTCTAACCACAGTGATGAAGTTGTCCTTGATGAACAACATTCCTTTTCATTTCTAATAATTTTCAAGACACCACAAGATTCTGTCTTTGGTCCCGTTATCATGTTTTTCGAATGATAAATATAGACTTCAAACTTGTTACCAAGCCTCTGCCTTATTTTCACAAGGCTGTATCGTTTTCTCTTTTTACAAGTATTGTTATTGTTTTTACTTGAATGAGTTATCGTTTTTTGTTTGGTCAATCAAAACTCTTGTGTAAATCATTATTCAACAAAAATCTTTTTAATGTTTTTTTATGTTTTAAAATTTTTTTTTCCTTTCAATTAATGCATTGGAATTATCATCTTCATGTTTTCAATTAATGCATTGGAATTTATTTGTATATCATCTGTTTTCATATTTTCCTTATTTATACTATCTACAGTTTTTTTTAGCTATCAAAGTCTTCTGTCAACTATTTTTTTTAGCTATCTTTAACTCTCTTCCTTTCTTTTTGCTAACTCCCAATTGAAATGTTGTTCGAAGCTTTTTTAGTAGTTAGTTTAAATTTGTTAGTCAAAAAGAAGGGGAAAAAAACAACAAAAAAACAAACAAAAAAACAACAGTTTTATAGCTATGAGTTATTGGTACAGTGTACAATACAATCTAACTAGTAGAATTTGCAGTGTACAGTTTACTTCTGTGTTAAATTCTTGTGGTTTTAGATTTCAACACTTTTTCTACATTTCTTTTTCTGAATTTTCTACATTTATTTTAGTAATGCAATTATTTTTGTAATGCAACTATTTATGCACAAAACTTTTAAATTTTGTAGGCGTGGTATTCAATGTTAATTAATATTAAATGTTGTTAAGTTTTTTGCAGTGTTGATTATATGAAATCAAATTAAGTTTCCTATTTGGATTTAAAAATTATTTTTTATTCAACAAGTACAACTGATGATAATGATTTAAAATAATAAATGATTATGTAAAAGATGATGATTCTAATAAATATGATAAGTTATGTTTTGACTACCATTATTTAACAAAATTTAGTATTTTTTTGGTAATGTCTTGTTAAGTTTTTCACAATACATTTTTCCTGAAAATCTGCTAAATGTTTTCTTTATAATGGGTTTATACTTTTTTTTTTCAACTTTGCATGTAATGCCATGCTTTGTTATTATTACCCAGCCTGCACAAGCACATGTTTTTAGACTCTAAATTGTTAATACCTTTCAGATGTCTAAATTCAGATAACTATAAGGTATCTAATTGTATTTATCTTTAAGACGACGAATAAAGTCTCAAGCTGTCTTAAAGATGACAACTAATAGATGTCTTATATTTATCTGTTTTTAGACATCTAAAAGTGTTAACATTTTAGATGTGAAGAAAAATGTCTAAAAGACGTGTTTGTGCTGGCTGGGTATCTATCTTTTTATATAATATTCTTGCCATAACATCAATTTCATCAAAAAAAGTTGTTTATTATTTTGTTGTTTTTATTGAATGTTTATAATATAGGAATTTTGGTTTTACTTTTTAGAAGTACTATTTTTCATTACACATCAGGAGCTACTGCAGGAGTTCTATTAACTTGGTGTTTTGTATTGTTTATACTCTACAAATTTATGCCAATGAAGGTATTTATTAATAAAGTATTTCTTTAAATAGAATTTTTTTTTTTCCTAAATATATTTTTAAACTATTCATTTGTAAATTATATTTTTTAAAAACTTAATGGTAAAAAAATTAAATGGTCATTATATAGCACTACCAATAAATGCTTTTTTGTGCATTTAAACGTGAAACAGTACAGAAAATGCAATATTACGTTTAAACATGAAACAGCATAGAGAATACAATGTTACATTCAAGCATGAAACAGTATAGAGAATACAACATTACATTTAAGCATGAAACAATATAGAGAATAAAATATATGATGATATAATACAGTAGTATATGGAAAATTTGATATTTCATATTAATGAATGATTCTTGATCACTTCTGATTGGTAGGAAGATTTCCTAATCAAATTGAAAAGCTTTGATAATTGCATTGTGCTTTCACCATCCATAATTGATTTTGCCAGTAATCAGCCCAAATAGAATTATAGTGAATTAAAATCGATAGAGGCAGGTGCTCATCCAGATGATAACTTTGTTGGTCCTTAGGAGAGCAAGTGTGTTAGTTAAAACATAAGAACACAGATCATAAGAAGAAACTGACTCATTTTATTAAAAACTTTTGTAGTTTTTTAATGTTGATATGTTTGATGATCATGAAGAGATTCAACTTTATGACATTAGAACAAGATTTAAACATGGCAGTTAGGGCAAGTCCAACAACTTGAGGAGGTGAATTAAAAAAAAAAAAAAAAAAAAAAAAAAAAAAAAAAAAAAAACATGGCAGTTAGGGCAAGTCTAACAACATTTACCATATGTTTTTGAGCCTTGTTTAAAAGTGAAAGAGCATCATTAAAATAGCCATGCCTAAATATGACAGCAGTATTCCATACAAAGATAAATGAGTTTTATAGAGGTAAAGAAAAGAAATAAATGTAAAAAAACAGCAAGCTTGATAAAGTGAGGTAACCTTGGCAGATTTTAACTTTGCAATTGATTGGATATACAATCTCTATGAAAGGTCAGTGGTGAAAAATAGTCTGAGAAAATGTAAAGTAGTGGACTCCTTTAGTTGCCACTCATCAATATAGTAATATCATTAATTTTGCCATAATTTATATTTAACTATATAGTAGTATCATTAATTTTACTAGTAAACAATAAAGTTTTGTTTGGGTTAAACTTACCCAGCCACTGCAAGCCTCAAGCCGTCCGAGAAAAAAGATTACATTTAAGATTGGCTGCCTGTTCTAAACAATCAAAAAGTAATAACTTTTTGTCAAGGTTGGAGTATATAGTTGTGTCACCTGCCACTTCAAACTTAAAATTGTTAAGAAGATCATTAATAAAAATGTGAAACAGCACAGGACAAAGGACATAATTTGGTATCCTAGAAGTTACTGAAAATGAAGGAGAATGATCTGACAACAGTTAGAGGGGTTAGTCAGTTAGAGCATTTTATTATAATTTAAAAAATTGGAACTAAAAACTATGGCAGTAATGTTGTCCAGACCACAGGCTGTAGAAGATTATGTAAAAAATGACTTTAGCAACAAAGACTGATGATGAGGGTGATTTGAATGTCTAACAATAGATTAACCTAGTTCTCTGAAAAAACAGAAAAAGTGTGAACGAGAGATTTAAGAGATAAGTAGAGGAATAGTTCTTTGTAAGTAGTTTTGGTTAGGAGAGGCAATATCCTTATCTCTTTGGGAGAGGCAATAAGTTTAGACCCATGTGTAAAAAATGGGTTGTTAGACTTGTCTTTCTTAATGACATTGTTAAATATTTTCGAAAAAGTCTCTAGATTATAATTTCTGGGATAAATGAGGTATTTTAATCTGTAAATAATGGGCCTCAGCATTATACAGAAAAAGTATTCTTTTGCATTGATTTTATTCAATGATAAAAAGTTGTTTGTTTTTAAGAAGGTTGTTTTAGTGGAAAAGATGAAAAATAATATTTTTGATTAGAAATAACAGCTGTGTAATAAGGAGAGTTAATACTATCAAGCGTTGGTGTAATTAATGGACGACCCCTAAGTTGTACTAGAGTCAAGCCATTCAGTGTGAGTTTCAATAACAACAGGCGATAAAGAGAAAGAGCTAGATCAATTTTATTAGAAATAACATCACAAATGAAAATAGTCTTGAGAAAAATGAGAATGATAAAGAACAAAGAGAAAGGTGAGTAAAGAGGTGCTAAACAGAAGCATATAAAAGAATGGTCAGAGGATTCAAACCTGATTTCATGACTAATAGGTGAATTGATGGGTGAGTATATCCCGTTTTAACTTTTTCTAGTTTTTACTTACAAAAGAAAGTCCTACGAGTCAACAGGATATGAGGCAGTTTGTACTGGATTACATGCCACCAGTAAAAAGGTGATAATTAGGATACTGATCTGATTTGTAATTCTACTTTTTAATTTCAATTTAAAATTCAATTTTACTTTCTGAATAAGCATATCATGAACCTCTTTTTTTGCTTTAGCATAGCTTAGTTTTATTAAAATATTTTGTTATAAAAAAAACATTTTTGTGTGAATCCACTTTTATGTGGAGCACATGTGTGGAATCACATATTAATGCACTATAATGTTAAAAAAAATAAACGCACTAAATTCAAGATAATATACTAAAACTATATGCATAAACTATGTTACACTTTTTTTGTTTCCTTTTTTTCCTAAAAGATTTTTATTTTTATTTTTCAAAATTAATTATAAAAAAAAAAAGTAAAATATTTTCATAAAATTATTGAATAATGTTTTATTTTAGAAATACTTGACAGGTTTAATTGTAACCATTAGTGGTGCTGGAATTTACTTCACACAGAAGATTTTAGATAATGCATTTTATTTAATTACAAAGTTTCCATATCATGTTTTGACACTTAGTGCTGTGTCTGGTATGTGGTTTTTTTTATTCAGGAAGGTTGCTAATCAGTTATGAGTCTGATTTATAAGAATATAAAACCTAAAAAGAAATGACAGCATTTTAAATAATATTTAATATTAAAACAAAAGTATTTAAAAAATCAAAATAAAAGTTTAAATTAAAAAATTTGTAGAAAGAGATAAAAATATCTGATAAAATTGTTTTACAAAAAGTCAAATAATGAATTTTGCATTTTTCTTTTTTAGCAATGATAGCCCTCGCCATCCTCTACTACTATGGTCCACCCTCTAATGAACGTGCACTGAACCTGCTACAATGGTTTCTCCAACTAACTGCAGTGTATCTTGTTTACCAGAGCAGTTACTGTAAAAAAGTCTCTATTACATTTGTAACAATTTTGATTGGTTCAAGTTTTGTGAATTTAAAGTCTATGCTGTGCAAATGGTTTAGCAAAATGTGTGTTTTAAACATTTTCATTAAATAAATTTTGACATCATAGCAAAAATAATTAGGCAGTGAAGTAAACTGAATAACTAAGGCAACTAATAACAGAATAGCTAGCAGTGAGCGGTGTGATTAATGTAATTAATAATAAAAACTGCCTGTAGATTATTTAAATTTTTTTGAAAAACATTGACATTGTGCATCATTTGAATGTTTAAGAAAGTTAGAATTACCATAATGCTATGTTCAGTATTTATATTTTAGGTGATGGAAAATAATTATCATAGTTCCTAAAGTAGATCAAGTAGTTGTATTGTAGATCAAGTAGATGTATTGTAGATCAAGTAGTTGTATTGTAGATCAAGTAGTTGTATTGTAGATCAAGTAGTTGTAACGTAGATCAAGTAGATGTATTGTAGATCAAGTAGTTGTATTGTAGATCAAGTAGATGTATTGTAGATCAAGTAGTTGTATTGTAGATCAAGTAGTTGTATTGTAGATCAAGTAGATGTATTGTAGATCAAGTAGTTGTATTGTAAAACTTTTTTATATAATCTAAAATCATTATTGATCTTTTTTTTAAAATTAATTCATGCATTACTGTCTAACATATAATCTAAAGTCATTATTGAAATTTTTTTTTTGTAAATTAATTCATACGTTACTGTCTAAACATTTTTGAACAATTATACAAATAGTATGCATTTATTTCATATACATAATAGATATAATTTCATTTACATAATTATCATCTACATTATTGCAATGTAGATATAATAAGATATAATAAATGTATAATGTTAAACAACATCATAAAATAATAGCACTATAATAAAAAGAGCTGTTTTTTTTTTAGTTTGCCTCGAAAATATTGTTACCTACTGCACAGGATTCCAAAACATCGTTTTCTTACATTAGAAGAATATGAAGCACAAGGAGTTTTAGAAACAAAAAAGTCTTTAAAGGAATTGAGAATGTTTTGTTCAAGTCCATCATGCAATAGCTGGGATTTTGTTGCTAAACTTAAATATCCTAAAAGGTTTTTTTATTGTTAATAAAGCTGTATTTTCTTTTTTGCATGTCAGTAAAATTTTTTATTGCATGTCAGTATATTGTTTATCACATGTCAGCAAAATGTTGTGTCTAAAAAAAGCTATATTAAAAAAATATTGTGTCTAGCAAAATGTATGCATATATACTGCCCTTGGAATTAAGATAAATGAGGTCGGCAATAATTAGCTGACCATAATCTTTAATATCAGTATCATAATCAGCATCAGGTCAGCAAAAATAATCACTATAATCAGCATCAGGTTGGCAAAAGAAAATTTGTTTACCCATAGTTAATGGACTGTTGTCCAAGGGCCATTAGTAATTGATTAAAAAGGGCTAGGAGGCTATTCCTTGTTGTACAAAAAGTTTTATATAAATTTCAAATCCTAGAGAAAAAAAAACCCTAAATGTATCATTCAAAAGCTAAAGGTTTGCAGTTTCTAAAAACATGTAACATGTAGAACTGGTTTTCAAAGAATTTTACGATTTGATGCTTAAACTTTAAACAAAGTTTTTTAGAATTTAAAATTTAAATTATTTTTCTAGTAAATCGTTTTAAAAATTTTTGTTGTGACGACACGGCGTGACATTTTTTAGAATTAAATTTTTTAAAGACTTTTAAAGAATTTTTATAAAAATGAAACACAAAAAACATGTTAGTTTAACATTGGTAGTTTTTTTATAGTTTTTTGTTTGTGGATAAATTTTGAAACATCCTTTAATATAACTAACATTGTTTTTTTTATTAAACTTGTAGGCGTACCTGTAAATATGTAGACATATTTTACTAACACCTTTCTTATTTAGTTTTTCTTAAATTTGTAGCACCATTGCTGAAGTTATTCTGAATGTTTATTGTTTATACAATTTTTATAAAAAGTAAACTTTTACAAACAAGTTATTTATTTCTTCGTTGAAAGTAATGAAAATGCCTCTGACACATGCTGATAGCCAGAGAAAGTATAGAGAAAGACAAATGCAAAAATTTGGTCCAAAAAATTTTTTTTTTGGAATACAAGCTTTATATTCCAAAAAAAAATTTGAAGTATAAGTAAAGCATATCAAATATTTAAAAACGAACTTACTGATTTTTCAATCAGTAATCCAAGTTTGCTAGTTTGAGACCAGACCATATACTTTTATCATGCTTAATGTCTAGAAATGTTTGTTCATGTCAAAAACATGAAAACATTATCTTGTCACTCAAAGCATTACATTTCATTGATTTAAAAATTCCCCTTTATTCGCATGATTACCAAATACTTTAGTGTGTGACGAGAAAAATGATAATTGTTATAATTATCTTTGTGAAGCTTGTAAGGATGGAAAAATATTTCTTAAAACATACCCAGTGGGAAAAAAGACGTCGAAAAGGCGTCTTTAAAAGTCTTATTTACGATGTCTTTAAGTTGTTGTTTTTTAATCAATTGTGCAAATCTTAAAGACATCTTTTTTCGACATCGAAAAGACGTCTTTTTTTATCTTAACCTTGTCATGAAAAGACATAAAAGATGCATCTTCAAGATGTCTTTGTTTACAAATTGTGCACTTCTAAAAAAGTTTTTTTGCTCGAGGTCGAAACAACTTTTTTGTCATACTTATTAGTATACTATAGTATCCTATACACTATAGTATTCCTACTTTTCATATATGAAAAGCTGTTTAATAGTTCTTCATACAAAATATGAGAAAAAGCTTTTTCCAATGCCGAGAAGAAAACCTCTTTTAGATGTCAATATAAAAGAGGTTTTTCTACATTTTCTACATCTTTTATATGTTTAAACATAGGAGAATAATTTAAAAATAAAACAACAGTATTGTTCAACAGAATATTTTTTAATCTTTCTCTTTCTTTTCTGTTTTCTGAGCAAGCTCTGTTTCTTGGCGTTGTTGAATAAAATTAACTATTTCACGTGCAGAAATTTTTTCATACGAGCTGGTTACAATTTCTAGCTGGTTACAACTTCTGAAAAAATGAGTGAACATAAAAAACAGTCTATTGCTTGAACGTAATACAAAAAAGCAATTGAAACTTGATTAGCTGAGTGGAACGCATTAGACTTACTGACTAATAATTCAAAAAGGGCTGATCCTTTTAACCCCTTCATATTTCCAGCACAGTCCTTTCTTTTTGATCCCACTAGGTTAGATTGGGACAGGAGTCAAATGATAAACAGTCTAAAAATGTATAAAAATGAGTGTGCTAAAGAAATTTACGACCATCAAAATGACTGTACAAGGATGTATTTTATTATGTAGTACTTAAATCAAACTAAACATTTGCACCTCTCAGATTTGTTATGAAAGCCAAATTATTGAAAACAGTTATTGATATTTTTCTGTCTTAAATGACATGACTTTTTAATTGAAATTAAGTGTTGTAGACTCATAACAATTTAAAAATCCATTATTGACTAAAGACTATCAAAACAAAAAGATAATTCAGCTAATACACCTTGAAAGTTGTTGTTTATTTAAACTGGATAAAAGTATTAATCAAAGCTCTATTTTAGCCTGAAGCATAATGATGTTTTACTTAACACCATAAAATCATAAAAACTGGCGATATCATTAGCAACACAGATAAAATAAGCAAACAAAAATGAAGACTAGAAAGCTGCAATGATGTTTAGATATAAGAAAGTTTACCTTTCCAGTATCATTTTCACTTGGTCTTTTGTATCCAAACCAAAAGTTTTGCAAACAATTCTAAAGATAAATCTTTTGTCATTATGTGCATTTTTTTACTTGCTTTGTTAATGACAGTCAACAGTTAACAAGGAAATAACAAATTTAACATAAAAGTTAAAGACCCAATCTTTTGTATAAACAATTTCATCATTCAACTAAATAAAAACAAAATTATTCAGGTCATTTAAAAGTTTATTAAAAAAATGCAAGCCTACTGTGCAATGCTTCTTCTTTTCTATTGTTTGTTTCACTGGCGCTTGAACTAGTAAATACAGACAGAAATTGTTTACAGGTTTTATTTTTCTTCTGAAAATAAATGTTTTAATTTAATATGTAATAAACAACATTCTTCAAGCACAACACATTAAAAAATTAGTCCGAAAATAAACGATAAAACTTTTTAAAACACTTACCTGCGACTAACTTAATTGAGACTAGGTCATATCAATACCATCTTACTGGCACCACGCCATACACTTTTTGCTTCTTCCAGTTAATATTTTCTAGCTAAACAGCTACAATTATATATATATATATATATATATATATATATATATATATATATATATATATATATATATATATATATATATATATATATATATATATATATATATATATATATATATGTATATATATATATATATATATATATATTATAGTATATGTATATATATATATATATATAATAGTATATATATATATATATATATATATATATATATATATATATATATATATATATATATATATATATATATATATATATATATGTATATATATATATATATATATATATATATATATATTATAGTATATGTATATATATATATATATATATATATATATATATATATATATATATATAATAGTATATATATATATATATATATATATATATATATATATATATATATATATATATATATATGTGTATATATATATATATATATATATATATATATATATATATATATATATATATATATATATATATCAGGCTTGGTCAGGAAGCAAGAGTGATCGCTCTCGAATACTGACCACGAAAAATTATATTTAGTTGCGAAAAATTGGCCAGGTTTTTTAGTCGTTTTGAGAACATTTACATTTATGTACGAAACAATAAATTTTTGTTTTACGGACATGCACGGAAACATAAAAAACTTGAATAAAAAGAAAAGAATAAAAAGAATATTTGCGAACACTAAAAACCCGCTAAATTAACGAACAAACTAATTATATTGGTTCAAAAAATACGCTGGCTAAGCGAAATAAAGTTCTAGAGTATTCTGTTGAAATGTTTTAGAAATTGTATTATTCACGATTTGTTACGTTTAGAGATTTGTAGCACAAATTGTTTTAAGATTATATATTATTTGTTTACAAAAATAAATGTTTTAAATATATATTATATATATAATAGTTATATATATTTTATTATTACATATAGTTATATATATATTATTAAATTGTCAAAATTTTAAAAGTTTATTATAAATTATAGATTTTATTAGTATATTCTTATTTTTTATTTAAAAAGTATGTATTCTTTATGTAAATGTAATTTTGTGTATCTGTTTTTTATTGTAATGTATCTTTTAAAGCAATTTTTATGATTTAAACAAAGACTTACAAAAATAATTGCATTTTCAATGAAGTTATAATCATTAAAGTTAGTAAAACTAATTATGTAACAAACATATAAGAAGTTTCTGGTTACTAAATACAAACAACACATACAAAGTAACTCGCAGATGAACAAGCACCGCGCCTGAGGTCACGAAAGAACACAAATATATAGCAAATAATTAGATATAAAGAAAATATATTGGTTAACTAACTCTAATTTTTTCGCTTAAGTTGCCATTCTTAAAATCTTGTTATACTTTTTCCATGCTGTAAATACTAATTAAAATTAAAAAGCCCACTCACTAAACATCATCAGCGATATTGTGAACCAGTTTCGCTTCCTTGTCATAAAGTATTTTTAACCTTTTTAGTTGATTTCTATCTTGTTAATTTAATTTATATAGTAATTCAATAATTTACTTATTTCATTTGTTTATCTTACTAAGAAGAATTGCTTCAAATATGTTAAACTTTTTAAACTACGGAAAACATAAAATAGGTATTAATTATTATTTTATAAATAAAAAATTAACTTTTTTATTTATAAAATAATTTAGCTTAAATAAAACTAAAAGTTGCAAACTTTCTTAAATAAAAAATATTTGTTTCCTTTTCAAACAATTGTAAGATGTTACTTTATATAAAAACATCGCTTAATTTTATTTAAAAAGTTATAAAAGAGCGATGTTTGGCAAAAATTTGTTCTAAATGTAATTTATTTAGCTTTAATTTTTTTTGCATTTAAAGATATTTTATTTGCCTGATTTTTTTTTTTTTTTGTAATTGTCTCTCATGGGTCCGATTAATCTTTTGTGCTTCTGGCTAGCTTTTCGCAACTAAATATTATTTATGTGGTCAGCAATCGAGAGCGATCACTCCCCCTTTCTGATTAAGCCTTATATTCATATATATATATATATATATATATATATATATATATATATATATATATATATATATATATATATTTACCTTATTTAAGTGCATCATACTTAGTTAACTAAATTAAATTTAATAAAAATATGTAGTTGAATTTTACAAGACTTTTTTTGAAATTATTGTAAATAAACTTTTATGTTAAACATTATTGTTATACCAATCTTATAAAAATCCGAATAATTGGTTTATTTTTTTACTTTTTGATGATATTATTGTCCTAATATTCAAAGATTTTGTACTAGTCACATGTTGACGTCACGGTGTGATGTAAACTCCGTTGATATATTTATGTGTCTCCATTTAAATTTATAAAACATGTTAAAAATTTTTTGAAACTATTATAACACCTTTTAAGTATCCGAGACATAACAAAAAAATATTTCAAAATATCCACAAGAGCTGAACTACTGTCGTTTCTTGTCGACAGAAAATGCTAGATAATTTTTGTCATGTCGTGGCGCAACCTTTTAATGTGTATAGTCTATAAAAATTATAACTAAATAATTTTGTTTTTAGAAACTGTAATAAATATAAAAAATTTTTAGTATCTTTAATTTTTAAATTTTTAATTTTAAATCCGCTAAAATCTGATTTTTTTCCCAAAAAAAAAGTCAAATGCCATGACAACGTGAAATAGCCCTAGGCAGATTTAAAAAGAAATTTTATTTTAAATAAAAAAAAAAATAAGTTAATAAATAAACAAAATGAAAAATTTTTATTTATATTTAAATCTAATTTATTCAATTTTTTTTACGAAGTAACAACTTTAATATAATTGTAGTTTATACTATTATGACAAAAACTAAACATAGCTTGCAGCAACTCTTCCATTATTTGTATTGAAGTTAAATATTCTGTCTGATTCAGAGCACTATGAGCAGCAATGAAACAGGAAGAGATGGAAGAATACACTGCTGATTAGAGATGTTGTTGCTGATTAGAGATGTTGATTTTTTGAGAAAATCAAAATTGGTTACGTAACTTAGTTAGGAAAACAATAACTCATTGTTTTCCTGACTAAGTTACGTAAGTTGAATGCTGAATCTGAAATATCACATAAATGATAAATTAATTTGTATCTAATTTTAAAAAGCATGAATTTACATCAAACATGCTAAGGATTTTATCAATTTTTAATTCAATGATGTTAAATTATTCTTGGCAAATGAGTGAATAAATCATTCTTTGCAAATAAATACCTTCATTTTCAGAGCTTTGTTTATGTTCATGCAGAAGGAAGTAAAATAATGAACCTATTGCGCTTGATATGCTCCAATTAATTTGATCTAAAAACCTTATACCAACTTTTCCTTGTATCGGTATTGTCCGGTGAGGTTTTTTTGTGCACTGTTTTTTGTTTCTTTAAAAACTAATTCACTCCTGATAAGGATGCAAGTAATCACTATTTAAGTTAGGAGTTACCACAGAAACTAAGAGTATTGTTAAAGAGAAAGAAAATGGTTGTCAGAAGCAGGGCTGTGAAGTCGGAATTCAAGTTGTGGAGTCAGAGTCGCAACATTTTTAGCAGATTCGGAGTCGCTAAACAAAATGTTAAACAGTTTTGTTTAGCAACTCCGACTTTTTTTTTAATACAAAAATATTGTACTTGTTTAGTGATTTCCTTTTCAAATTTATAAGTCATTAAGCACAATTGTTTTACAAGTGCATATTTAAATAAATATTATTTAAATATGTACTTGTAAAACAAAGATTTTGTTTTACAAGTACATATTGCCAAAAATAAATTTTCTGTTGCCAAAAAATACAAAAAGTTTGATTAATCAACTTAGTTTATCAAAATCTATAAGTGAAAATAACAGTTAATCACAGTGTGGTAGTGTAGTGGTCGAGTGTATGATTATTATTATTATTGTTGTTGTTGTTGTTGTTATTATTGTTATTATCATTGTTATTATTAATTATTAAGGTTTTTTTTTTTTTTAATAATACTGTGATTCTTATGTTTATTATTATTGTTATTATAAACATTTTTATTATTATAACCGTTAATATTATTTTAATCATTGTCATGTTAGTAATATAACTATTTCTAAACAACCTTGAAATGTAACCACCAACTATTTCAGAAATATATTGATTGATTAGCTAAACCTATCTTTGTGTAGTAAATAAATTACATTGTGTAAAACATCATATAATTTAAAGTAACCATAGTTTCTCAGGTTTTTCATTTGCTATATAAAAGAAATAACTAATTTTATTGTGTAAATAAATTATTTCAGTGTTTAGGAATGCATTAAATTCGATACCATCTCCATTTCCAAATTTACTGCATAATCAAAGTTCTAATGTTATTTTGTAAATTTTATTACAGTGTTTAGGAATACTATTGAATCCGAAACTTCTTAATTTCTGAATTTACTGCATAAGGTTATCATGCTGTTTTGTAAATAAATGGTTGTGCTTGGAGTCCATATTAAATACAGTTGAAAAAGTTGTTGTTTAAAAAAACTAGAATAACCTGTTATACAGGTTTTAGGATATATAAAAATACAGGATAGAGGTTTTCAGCTTGTTTATACCCTTTCATTGCCTGTTTAAAAATAGTTGCATTGAATATTATAAAAAACACTAATCATAAGAAGTTTTTACAACTTCTTTATAGATGTATATTTATTAGAATTTATTGTTTAGTGTTTTTATTATAAAAGTTTGCTGTTTAAATGTTTCTTTGTTTTTTTTAAATTTTTTAATTATTTCTTTAAAAATATTCTATATTTAAAGATATTGATTTTTGTTTTGAATTTTTAATATAGGTTTGCTCGGTTTATAAAATCCGGAGATCACATAACTACAGATGAATTAGAGGCGTACGATAACACCGATGAAATCGATTATGAAAGTGATGAAATAGAATCTCATAATGTAAATACAAAAAGTGACTGGAATCGTTCTGCAAATGATTCCTGTTTAAAAGATCCAAAGTTATTTAAAGTAACTAAGTTAAATACTTCAAGTTCTTTAAAAAATTCTTATAAAAGTAATGTTCTAGAAGATAGTGACGGTTCTATTGATGATGAAATCTCTTGGATAAGCGAAAAATCAGATTTTTAAATAATTCATATTACCTATTATTTTATTTGTTATATATATATATATATATATATATATATATATATATATATATATATATATATATATATATATATATATATATATATATATATATATATATATGCATATGTATAATCTGTATTGTTCATTTTATTATTTATAGTGTGTGTATATATATGTAAATAGGAAAATAAATGAGCAATACATCAAAAGTGTACTTGATATTTAAAAAAGTTAGAGGCAACAAAAACATGATAGAATTTAAAAAATATATTTTTATTTTAGAGTTTTTTTGTTTTCATGAACTACTTTTCGTTGACTTGGGTTTTTTTTTGTTTTTTTTTTTAGTTAGTTGGTAAATCTTCCATGTTAAAGTCTTGATTGTGATCTTAAAAGTAAATGATGTCATTAAAAATTAATAAAAACTATTTAACTATGTTTAAATTTATGATAAAAATCAAAGTAAAATAATTGTTCATATATATATATATATATATATACTTTAGCATATTTATATATATATATATATATATATATATATATATATATATATATATATATATATATATATATATATATATATATATATATATATATATATATATATATATATATATATATATATATATATATATATATATATATATACACTTTAGCATATTTATGTAACAAATTGTTACCATATTTTTGTTACGTAAATTAAATTGAATTTTCAAAAAAAGAAGAAAAAAAATTAAGAATAATGAAAAGGATTGCCATATGCCAGACCCTCAGTGAATGTAGCACCACTCCGCTGTGAGTCAGGCAGTTTGTCATTATGTGTGTCCTCTATGCAAAAAAAATTTTAAAACCGCCCAAATTGAATTTTTTTAATTTGTTTGTGTACAATGTAAAAAAATTTTTTAACAAATTATAATAACTATTCTAGACTAAAAAACTTAAAGCTATTAAACATATAATTGGTTCCTAATATTAAAAAAAAAATAGTTTTTCAAAAATTATTGGCTTTCAAACAAAGTGAAATAATATAAAAATTTTAAAAATAATAATCATTTTTATAAAAAACAAAAAAAATGTTATAAACAAAGAATTTTGTTGAATTCCCTTTTTAACATTTAGTTGAAAAATATTATTTTCTTCGTAGTAAAGTCTAAAATGATAAATTTTTATAAATTGATTGTCATTTTTGAAACTTTTATATAATTTTGCTTTGTTTGACACCCAGCAAGACAGTTTTGAAAAACCTTTTTTATGTATTAGGAACTCATTAAATGTTTAATAGTTTTTAGAGAATAGTTATTAAAGTTTGGTAAAAAAAATTTTATTACATTGTACACAAACATCAGAATTTCAAAAAGTTTAATTTGGGCAGTTTTAAAAACTTTTTTACATAATGAACAGTTCTAATATTTATATGCATGTGCAGAGAGTTTTTATGTGTTTTTTGTCTCTATTTAATTAAAAATAATTTTTTAATTATAGATATAATTATATTTCAAAATGAGATGCTAAAATGTATTCGTGCATCATACATCAGCACAACTACAATAAAAATGATGAGTTCATACTCTAAACAGCTTGATAGATTCAAGTTTCCTGGCATAAAGAGTCTTTTAGATGATGATGTTGTAGGCTTGTGTAATATTTTTATAAAAAAGGGTTTTGAAATCCGAATTGTTGGGGGGGCAGTTCGAGATGTACTATTAGGCAATCCAGCTAAAGATATTGATCTTTCCACTACTGCTACTCCTCAACAAATGGTTGAGGTTTTTTCTGAAAATAAAATTAGATTTATTGAGACAGGATTAGCTCATGGCACATTAACTGCTCATTACAATGGCAGAGATTTTCAGGTAACCACTCTTCGTTATGATATCAAAACAGATGGCCGTCATGCAAAAGTTGAGTTTACAAATGACTGGAAATTGGATGCTGAACGACGTGACTTGACTTTCAATAGCATGAGCATGGATGTAAATGCTGTACTATATGATTATTTCAATGGAGAAAATGATTTAAAACAAGGCGTGGTAAATCAATGATTTATTTCTGTTTTTTTTTTTTGTTTTTTTTATCTATCAGTGCTGTTGTAGAGCAACAAAAAACATTTTTTTACTAAAAATTTTATAAGTATATAATTTTTAGTAAAAGTTTATATTTTTAAACTTTTAGTAAAAATTATATATACATAAATTTTAGTAAAAGAGCCGATATTTAAAAAAATGTGTTTTGAATCAACTGAAAACAACACTGATAACATAGATATAGGTATTGATGTTTAAATTAACAAATTTTATCTAGGTTCGTTTTGTTGGCAATGTTGAAAACCGCATTCGAGAAGACTATTTACGCATATTACGTTATTTTCGTTTTTATGGTCGCATAGCTCCAAATATTCATAGTCATGATGAAAAGACATTAAACACTATTAAAACCTTATCAGAAGGACTGAAGAATTTAGCTGTAGAAAGAATCTGGTTAGAAGTTAGCAAAATTTTAACTGGTCCACTTGCTCCTCACTTACTTTTGTTGATGCAGCAGCTTAATGTTACAGAAAGTATCGGTAAGAAATAAATTATCAATCAAAAATTACTTTTGATATGAACATGATTTTTACTAATTTAAAAAAAAAAAAAAAATTAAAAAACATTTTTACCCTAAGAATGTTTGCACACATCTGAGAAAATTATAGTCGTTTTATTTTTGATAAAATTTTTAAACCCTGGAAATGGGGACGTTCACAATTTACATCATGCGATAGGGGAGGGGGAGGGTTAGTGGTTTTGTGACGGTTTGTTACAAGGGAAGAGGGGAATTATTGAATTTTGTGACAACCTAGAAAATCTTTTCTATTGATTAAATGAGTGCCTAGCCTAAAACATAAACCCTCAGTTGATGAAAACTTGACTGCAGCTATTCCAATTTAACTTAAATTGGAATTGATTTTTTAAATTGACTTAAAGTTTAGTAGACCTGTGTCCTTGGTGCAGTTGTAGCAATTTTGTAATTGTTCAAATTCTTTTATTTGGAATTAGCATGTTATGTCCGAACAAGAGCTTTAGTTATTTTTTGTTTCAGTTTTTAAAATGTTTAAAAAAACTTTTCTCTTTTTTATATAATTTTCAAAACCTTTACTACCCCTAATAGTGAACCTAAAGAACACTATATTTAAGTCTTTAGATTAATTTTAATTAGCTGTAACTTGATTTTAGTTAAAATCTTTTGAAAAAGTGCGCTAACCCACTATAGATTCTAGTTCTAATCCGTTCTGGTACATTTTAATTAAATATAGTTTTCAAAATACAACATTTCCATCAATTTTAAATAAAAATTAAGAATTCCAACAAAGAAAGACCTTATAATGAAGGAAAACTTTTATTAAACAATCATATTATTAAATTATGATTTTCACCTAAACAACGTATTTATTTAAAATCTTATTCATATCTGGACAAGCAATTGTAATTTTTAAGAGATTTAAAATTAAAATATCTGCGGTCTGGGTTTTTTCACCACAAACATTTTTATTTTATATAACGGCAAAATTTAAAAATTTCTATCATTTTAATTTTTTTTTTGTCTTGTCAGAGACCTGATTTTTTTGTTTAGTTGAAATATTAAAATATTCATGCAGATGCTGCAATATTTTAAAATCGCCTCGACTACACTTAATAGACTCCGCTGCATCTATGGTTTTATCAATCTGATATATGATTAATCATAATAATTACATAATTACATAATTACATAATTACATAATTTTTAAATAATGATAAAAATCATAATAATAATATTAAAATAATATAATAATTATTAAACAACAATAATAGTTAATACGCATTAAATATTAGACACTAGATAATCGGTATCGAATAAGTTGATACCGAGAAGAATGGTCTAGTATCGCGTGGTATCGCTAATATACTAATGTCGATACTATCAGTACCGCTTCGATACCAAACGATACCAATAATAAAAATTGTATAGTATCGCATGGTCTCGAATCAAGACACTCAATAAAACAAAAAAAATTAAAATGTGACTTATTGAATTTTTTATTAACAAAATACAAGTACTATTGCTTTTTAGAGATTTAGTTGTTGTTTTTTAACAATCTACAATACTTTGGCTATTGTCCATTCGTTGTTTTTTCCTTTGCTATACATTCGCTGGTATTTTAGGATTTTCCTCTATTAATATTTTGATAATTTTAGGTGCATTTACTGTAAATTTTACATTTTAACAACATCAAATGAGTTGAATAATTTCAGAAATTATTACCAAAAAAACCCTTTAATAAGCGTGAATTTAATTTTTTTTTACAATTAATTGGTATCTATATGTGAAACAAAAAAAATTCAGAGTGCGCAGACATACAATTTAGCAAACTGTGCTTTGAGCGCTATACCTAAAAATCATTCGATTTATGAATTATTGCTCCACCAAATATATTACATTTTTGTAAATCTTAATAGTTATAACGTAAAAATGTAAAAAATAAACTGCATTTTTAATTAACAAAAACTAAAAAAATTAAGCCCTTTGAAAAGACTTGAACCTAGATCTCCGGACTCACTGGCCATAACCTTATCCGCTCGGCCAAACTACTACGATATAATTAAGTTGTTATATATAAAACTAATTCTGCCGGTAATGAATCTCAGGATTGTTTCCCGGAATAGATTACTTTTCTTTAATAACTACAGTATACTTATGTTTAATTGTTTAAAACTAAAGTTTAGTTGTTGAATATTGAACACAGAACGAAAAACCAGGCAAGAATTACGATACTACGAGTAATTTAATTAAAGTAACGATACCAAATGAGAAATTAAAATATGGATGTGTTATCACAGAATTATTAAAATTTAAATAACTGTAATGACTGTAACAAAATCAATTCCCATTGAACAATCATTTCTCATACTCTTTTAGAATAATCATTAACAATTGCATCACAAACAATTTCCTTTGGAAAATTATATGAAAAACTCTCTTTAATGATTGCAAAACTATTCCCTTTAATTAATTTTAATTCCACTTATTTCTGCACGGAAAATTTTTGCCTAAATGGAATAAAAATTCAATAGAGTTGGAATAACGATATGAGAAACTGCACACAGCAGGGGCGGATCCAGGTCATTGTTCTAAGGGTGTAGTCCGAACAAAAAAAAATATAAAAAAATAAGATTTACGTTTTTTTAAAATAAAACAATTGTTTCATTTGATCATTTAGAATGATTTTAGAAAGGTTTTAAGATTAGTTTGCTAATAAATATAATGGTTATATAAATAATTTTTTTGGGGGAAAAATAATAAAATGTTGAATTACAGTTTTTTATATTTTTTTCTTATTTTTTTAATTTTGTCAATAATATTTTGAAGTTTGACATTTCCTAGGTAGGGAGGAGGGTAGTAATAATGTTAATTTAACATTATTACTATAATGTTAATTATTACGAAAATTAAAAACGTATTTAAATCCACAAAAAAAAATTTCAAGGAGGAAGGGGTGGTGAAATTTGTAGCGTAATTTTAAGGGGGTGTCATGCAAATTTGACGATTTGTTACTTGAGGGGGCGAGGGGGTGTTAGTTGTCAAAAATTGCGTGACGTTGTTTATGGACAACCTCAATTGTTTACTTTGTTTTCACAAAAGATGTTTCAAGTCATAAAAAATTTGAAAGTTCAATTCGATTTCATCTTGAAAATTAAACTGCTATAGCAGACATGAGTTTTCCAAGGTTGTTCCATTGTTTCCAAGGTTGTTCTAACAATTTTTAGCAAAGCTCAATTAAACTAAAAATTTTGTTTTAAAAAAGATACAGATATGGTACTAACTATGAGTGGATCCAGCATTTTTTAGTGTTTATGATAACTTTCAGACATGTAGCAAACTCCAAACTTTTATATGTTTATACTTATGTCAAATAAAGATGCTTTGTAAAATATTGTGATGATTATAGCTTGGAAACAAAAAAATCCCAATGTTGTCGCCTCCCCCTCCTGCCCCCAACGTGAAAGCAACAAGTTGATAAAAAAATTTTTTTAACTATTTTTAACTAATTTTTTATTCATCGGTAAATTTTAAGTTTCATAGTAAAATTTCTCAGCATTCATAAATTATGACCATATAAAAGTTGTAACCTCCTCAAATTTGAGGAAAACCTAATACACTTATTTGAACGTTTAAAGATTTTACTATGAAACATAAAATTTACCGATGAATATAAAGTTAGTTAAAAATAGTTTAAAAAAATATTTCATCAACTTGTTTCTCTCACGCGGAATTACCAAAAGGTAATTTGATCATTTAATAACTATCCTTAGGCAAAAAAACTCTTTGAAAGCTGTTAACGGGACAGGCAAACTTATCATCTATAGTTCACAAATGCACGGAGGAGAACTCAATGCTAGCCATTGTAGATATCCCTTAGACAACTTTTGCTTTTTAGAGAAATTTTCTCGGAAATGTCGATATTGGATTTGAATACGGAATGTTTATTGCTTGATTTAAAATATTTGTTTAAAAAATTAAGACAAGGTTTGGGATTGTAAATACAGATTCTTTATTTATTTTTGAGAGTTCTGAGCTTAAGGAATTTTATTTATAAAGTTTATTTTGTCATTAAGTATTTAGTTTACTAACAATCAGGCTGAAAAAAGCGAAAAAAAAAAAAAGCTGGACGCTTCATATTCAAATTTGGGTCTACAGAGTATAGTCTTCCACTCTAAAACTTAAATATTTTTTAATTGCATATTATTTAAGGCATCTCTACATAAGTCAATATTCCTAAATCTATTTAAAAAATTTATTTAAAAAAAGAAGCTTCTCTATTTAATATAATGCTAGCAAAATTAACATATTTTTTATCGTTTTTCTGTTTTAAAATTATTTTCGGATCAGTAATTTTTCAGATTTATTTTAAATATATTAGTACATAATACAAGCTTCAATTTTAAGCGAGTAAAATTAATTTTATCTAATTTGGTTTATTTTAGAAAATTTGTATGATTTCGCTAAATGTTTTCTAAACTTTGTAAAAATTTATATAAAAACATGAGACGGTGCAATTTTTCTTTCAATTATATGCCTTTGCGTAATCCCGGAAAACCGAGGATACGCTTATTCCTATTGGTAAAAGAGGGGTCTTAGTTTTATAATATTGTTACATGGTTTTTGCGCCTGCATGACATGAGTTTTGAATCGGAATTTATCAGAATTCAGGTGGTCTATCCCAACCTACATGACTACTGAAAACTTTCATTAACGGTTCATAGCATTTTTTGCTTTTACTTTTGAAAAAAGATTATTTTTTAGGGTGGAACCCTTTATTTTAGGGTGGAACCCTTTAGTTTGTGTACTTATAAAATGGGCTTTTTTAAATACAGTTAAAGGAAGAAATATAAATTTACTAAAAAGCGTGAGTTGTGGCGTGACAAATTTCTTTGATTTTAAATTTTTTCTTTTAACATTAAATTTTTTAATTGATTTTGAAGTATATTTTAAGTAATTTATCAACCATTTTTTCAATTTTATTTCTAATGAGTTATGACTTTAATATATATATATATATATATATATATATATATATATATATATATATATATATATATATATATATATATATATATATATATATATATATATATTTTTTTTTTTTTTTTTTTTTTTACATGTTTGAACGTTTGCTTGGGATGTTTGTTGTCTCGATATTACACACACTTATAATATATTTTTTTTAGGTTTTCCTATAGTCCTTGAAGATAATTTAAAGTTATTTGAAACAGTTTGGACACAAACTCGGAATGTGGATGTCTCTCCTGTTACCCTGCTTGTAACTCTTTTAGAAAATGAAAAGATAATGGAAGACTTTGGATCTAAGTGGAAATTATCTAATAAAGAACGTATTATGGGCTTGTTTATTATTTCGCATAGATCTTTGCGCAATTATTCTGAAAAGTGTCCATTAAAACCTTACCAAGATTTAATTGTATTAAATTCAAGTAAAGGAGATGCCTCGGTGCGCGAACGCGTCCGTCAATTGATGTTTTATCATGGAAAAATTACTGAAAGTTTTGAATTAGATAAGTGGGATATACCCATATTTCCGATTACAGGCTTAGACTTAAAAAATTGTGGAATAAAACAAGGACCAGAGTTTGGTAAAATTTTAATTAAGTTAAAAAAGATTTGGATGAATAGTTATTATTGCGATTCTAAAGAAGATCTATTAAAAAAGATACCTGAAATTTCAAAATTAAAATAACCGAATTTCAAAACAAAAAAAAAAAAAAAAAAAATTTTGCTTCGAAATTTATTATTGAATTGTTTTTTTTTTTTTTTTTTTTTAAATTCATAATTATAACCTTATTACAACTCTTATTTTTGAAAATATAAACATTAGTTTCGGCGGTTTTTCTTTTTATTTTTATAGCGTATTTAGTAATATTATTTTTATAACGTATTTAGTAAGTAGCATAGGTATTTATATAGGCTGTTATAAAAAGTACATCTTCTAGAACATGAATTTAATTAAGTTATTAATATCAAATTTAGCATTGTATGCAACAGTAACAATTATGGAATTGATTAATGAAATTAATGATCGTTATGACGTAATCTAACGGTCTTAATGAAAAATAACTAAATATGTCAATACTGACCCGAAAGTATGTTATTAAATTAAATCCTTGTCATCATCTCACCAATTCTGTTTACATTCACTTCTGGATCAACCAGATCTAACTTAATCAATTTGTTAGCATAAATTGCATTTAGTCAAACTTAATATGACGATAACGTAGTTTTATAAAGCCTAATGGTTTTTTATTTTTGAAAAAAAAGTAAAAATTGAAAATTTCAAAGTGAATCTTTTGAAGTCATTTGAGCTATTTAGAAAACTCTCATGTAATTTGTTTTATTTTAAAAATTTAGGTTATACCTAACTTTCCATTTAAAAAAAGCACTCTTAAACTTCAACCTCAACTCCCATAGCAACCAATTTTGATTTACTGAAAGCCTCTAAAAATATGTGTAGAAACCATGGTTGGTTTGCTTTAAAGCCATTAAAATGTTTTACAGAAATATTAACTTTATGCAAAAAGTCACCAATTTAATAGATGTGTTATATGGGTCAAAATCTGAAAGGAGAACAATCATTGTATCGAGGCCATAACTATTTCTAAACTGGATATTGAAACTATGACAAATGTTTTTCTAAATATTTTGTACATTTTCTACTAAAAAATTATTTTTGATCATTAGGCTCTGATTATTATATAAAAAGTCAGCTGAAAGTGCTTAAACGTCATTTCTGTAACTGTCTTCCTACCGATTTAAATAATTTAGAACTTTAGAATCACAGCATATTAAGTTGATAGGAAATATCTTGTGATAAAATTATGATAAGATAGTAGTTAAACTTAATTTTTAAATGCAATTAAGAGGAGAAACTTCAACTTAAGAGGAAAGACTTGACTTCAACTGCTAAAACGAAACTAATGTGAATGTCTACTGGATCTGAAAAATTTACATTTTTTATTTCAGTTAACAAATTTTCGCTAGATTTCGCTACAGCAACCGGAAGTTTAGATAGAGCTGCCATTTTGAATATTGTTATTGAAAGTATTAACATTTTTATTTTATTAAATTTTGAAATTTTTTACGATAAAACATCAAGAATTGAGTTTGTATTTTTATGGTAAGTCATATCTGTAACGCAAACTAAAGTATACAATTTTATATAAATGTTATTGAGTTATGATTTACTATATGAATTATGCCGGTTCGTATCAGAAATGCTCGGTAACATGTTGCTCAGTAACATGTTGACTGCTATAATAGTAAAGCAATTATACTTCTTTTTATGAGCAAATGTCATATCTGTAACAGTCACTTCAGTAACGCTTTTTATTTACTAAATTGTTACAGAAATGACAAAAATAAAAACTTGCTCATGGGAATAAAATAAAATATAAACAACTTACATAAACCAACACAGTATTCACAATTATCTTTATAATCAATCCTACTAAAAAGTTTGTGCATTTTTATTTTTGAAATGTTCTGCAAGTTTCTTCAATTTTTTTGACTAATCTCAATTGAAAGTTTCAAAAAGAAAACTTTTAAATAATTTTCAAGCTCTGAATTTATAATTTGTTAGTTTTATATACTAGATTAATACAAAATAATGCCCGACAAAAAGTTCAAATTGGTTATCAAACTAAAATCAGATAGAGAAAATGCTACTAAATTAAGAGAAAAGGATGCTAAAGAAAAAGCCGCAATGCCAGAGCTGCAGAAAAGCGAAAACAAATAAAATTAAAGAAAACAGAAATGTTAACAGAAACTCTTCCACATTTTAGTGAGCCAGAAGATGATGAAATAAAGAAAAGTGAACCTTTCTACAAATGCTTCAAATAAAAATGGAAATCTGTATTATAGTAAGACTAAGACAAAAAGATTGAAAATATCGCAGGCAGAGGAAGATTGAAGATCTGGACAAGCTAATTTTTGAACTATCAAAAAGAGATCAACGGGAAACTCGCAAAAAATGGAAAAGAAATTCTAAAGCGTATAGAGATATAAAAGTTGCAAAAGCATCATTATTGGAATCTGCTGCCATGCCAACAATAAATGTGCCAACAAATCGCGACGCTAGAATTATCTTGTTCTATCTCCACATTTTTTAGTTTTGAGATAAAACGATTTAAAAAACAAAAACTTTAGGAGACGGCGTATAAATTTACTTTTATAACTTATATTTTTTCCGTAACTTTTTTACTTATAACTTTTCAATTCAGTAGAAAGACATTTTTTTGAGGAACACAACACTATCATTAACTCAATTTTTTCAGAAAATGCAGATAGAACAAGATAATTCTAACGTCAGGAAATATTGAAGAAATGTCATCATCAAGGAAATCTGTTGAAAGAAAGAAAGTCAGAATTGGGTGGTCAAAGCTAGCAAGAGATTTGAAAAGGAAAGAAGAAGAGTTAAGAAAGACAATGGAAGACCTGAAAAAAACCCAAAACTTGCATTCTTAAATATAAGAAAAGAATTCAACGGGCTAACAAATCGAAAGCAACATTACATTTCTATAACATACGAGTCATTTCTGTAACTTTTGAATTATTTCTGTAACTCGTAGATTTATTACATTCAAAGTTTAATTCATTCCGTTTGCAGATTTTATCAATCATATTTCTTTAGAATATTATGTTCTACTGCTAATCTATCAATTTAAATACTGTAGGTTTATTTATCTCTTAATTTTGCAAAAATGTATTTGTTAAAATCTAATTTTTCTAAATATTTTAACTTCTGACACCAAACATTGATATAAATTTCAATCTAGAGTAAAGAACTGCATTAATTTCTTGTGAGAATATACATAGAGAAAAAAAAATTATAAATGGAAGGGTAATAATTAATTTTTTATATGATTTTGGTGTTATTAGTAATTGTTACAGAAATGTCGTTTTTACACATATGTGCATCTAAAAGTTTTAAAATGTCAAAAAATTTCAAGGTTTGATCGTGGACATTATACAAATATGTTGTGGAACCCATCTATCAACAAAATGGTAATGGTTTCACTAGCTGATAAAACAATAATTGTTTTTGCTTTTGTATTTAATCAATTGTCCTCATTTTAGATTTTGACCGCTATGAGATTTTGATTGTTTAAAAGATGAAAAGCTGCAAGTGAAATATTATTTGTTTATGTTTTTAAGCATCGTTTATTTGATTTAGTTACATGATTTTTTATCTTTTTTTATTTATTATAGTTAATTTAATTGGTTTTTAATTGTTATTTCTTTTTTTTTTTTTGTTAATGTTATTTAGTTATAATGTTTATTACCGATGAACAACAACAATAAAAAAAAATGGAGCTTATTTATACTTTTTTATTTATTTTTTACTTTTTAGTTATTCTTTATAGTTGTAATAATAAGAATAATAAAAAAATAGTAGGGCTATGTTACAAAGAAAGTCTGGCCACTCAAAATAATAGGGCTATGTTACAAAGAAAGCGTGGCCACTCAAAAGCATTTTAAAAACGGACATTCGAAGGTAACCAGCACACACAAAAAAACAAGAAGAACCAGCTGAGATTCCTACTTCAAACTCACCTATTTCTTCTTCTGGAAAGAAAAAAATCATATTTATTATCAGGTTCATCATCATCTTCTAAAATCACTGATAACGCTAGACCAACAAACTTTACATCATCTTCATTCACCGATGACACCAGTTTGTTACCCTGTGTAAATTTTTCAAACCCAACTGTATTATCCATTTTTTATTATTTTTTTCTACTGATATTTTTATGGAAATTATTAATTTAGTTGCAACATGCCCTGATTGTGAAAAAAAGACATTGTGGGTCAAACATTTTATGTCTTGAGAAAGCAAGGCTTGTCTATACCATTATTGTTGCCATTATTCAAGTTGTTGTTGGTGTACAACCTTTCAATCAAGTAAAGAATGTAAATGCAAAAGCAGTTGTTGTTGACCTTTGTTTGAGGTTAATAAACGTTCTGTTATTCCTATGAGGGAAGTTGGAAAAGATTATCCCTGTTTAGAAAACTTTATAGATGAAAAAAAGCAAATAGAACAGTGCTTTTTCATTGTTCTTTAGCAAAAGATATTATAAGAATATAAAAGACAAAATAAATGGCACAGCAACGTACTAACATAAGGGAGGAATATCAATTGTTGTCCTTAAAGAAATAAAGCCTGTTTTTTAGGTTTGAGTGATGATAATTTATTAAAAATATCTTTATGGTAAAAATCAAAATAACTAATAAATAAATGAGTCACTAAATGGAATGATTTGGTAACTGTGTCAAAAAGATATCTATTTTGTAAAACCACTGTTAAACTAGGTGTAGCTTCTGCAGTTATAAATTTTAATGACGGTTTAACTGGAATTCTAAAGGTTTTATAGGGTTTAAGTATTGCTCCATGATTTTGTGCAAATTCTGTGTTTTAAATAACAATTAAAGACTAATGTCGACTGAGAAGGAAATCGCTTGATATTGTTAAGCAACAAAGAAAACATATTTGAGGAGTTCATAAAGGTTTCATAAATACTAATGAATCAGAAGAAGAAATGAAGTATGATTATGGTATATATATTTATTATGGTATATATTTGAGAGATTTTTATTATTTTTTATTTAAAATGATCAGTCATGAAAAACACTTTTTTTTAATTTTTAACATTTAAAGATGAGATTTAGTGATATTTTAGTATATTATTACTTAAATTGAATTTCAAAATTGTAATTTTTGGATGGTGCGTTATATAACTTTTAATTGATCTGAGCTTTACACCTGAAATTTTATATGGTGATTACTTTTGAAAAGATTTTGAAAAAATATTTTTCGGTCCAGAGTTACCCA